AATCCTGTGTTCGAGAGAATGGACAGTTGCCGGTTCATTACCTGCGTCATGGGGCTCTCTCCTTGTTGGGACAACTCTGCAGACGGAATACGCTGTCCAAGAAACAACTCTAAGCCCTAAACCCTTAAATCCTAAGCCCCTGAAGGCCCAAACCCCAGAAAACCAAACACAAACGCCTCAAACCCCTCAAACACCACATTAATGTAACAGCCTTAATAATTAGAACAGGGTTTTGGGGGTTCCTTATTGTGATTATATCCCTAAACCCTCAAACCGTGAAGGTGCCACCTCCCCTGCCGCCACCGGCGACTTCGCCGGCAGCTTCAAGGCTCACATTCCGGGTTTCTTTGATTGTAGGGCTAAGCACTTTTTGTTTTTTTGGTTTTAGGGTTCAGGGGCTTTAGCATGTAGCGTTGTTGGGATCAGGGTTTAGGGCTCAGGGGCTTTAGGGTCAAATTCTTGTGCGTTTAGGACATTCAACTCTTTGGCACCATTGAAGGTCCTATTGCTCATCGTGGTACCTTCAGAGGCATTGAGCTGATATGTCGTCATTCTAGTTTGTGTTGTGAGCTTGTCACGGGTCCTGTCCTTTTGATCGTGGCTCGTGTTACGGACATGGTAAAGGATGACGTCGGTCCTGACATCAAACATCCTAGTTGCCCCTCTCTTTGGATTACTTGCGACACCTGTGCTAGGTCTTGTAGGGCACTACACTACACGAGATGCATGGGAGGTTCAGGTGGAGAAAGTTCTGTCCAGAAAGGCTCTATGGCAACTAAACCCTAAACCCTAAACCCTAAACCCTAAACCGTTCTGTCGGTGAGGCCTCCCAGGTCCACCATCCTTTGCCTACTGTCATAGCTTTCTAATTCTTAGCTTCGAAGCTGATCCCTCCACGTTACCTCAAGTGGCACGCTGAGGCCCACCGATCATTCGATCCCAACTTCTGTACGCTAACAGCATTTTTTTTGGTGACACGTATGTCTTGCTACGGTTTCGGTGTTGTTTTGCAGTGCTGTTGCCATGTCCGAGAAGCTGTCATCTAACTGTCCGTAGTATACGCATCTCCCCATTGGCAAGGCGTTGTCTCCACACACAAAGACAGCATATTCAGCCGGCAAAATGATCATTAACAAACCTATCAGCACCCTAAACCCTAAACCCTAAACCGTAAGCCCTAAACCCTAAACCGTAAACCCTAAACCGAATATCCCTAAACCTAAACCGTATATCCCTAAACCCAAAACCCTAAACCCTAAACCGTATTTCCCCAAACCGTATATCCCTAAACCGACACATCCCCTAGCAAACCCCTAAACCCTAAACCCTTAACCCTATCCCGTTTGGCAGGAGGGCTCCCGGGCCCTGCAGCTTCTCCAAGGCCAGCGAATTTCGGGGGGCCTTACTGATTTTTTTTTTTATGAGGGTCTTGCGGAATACTACGTTATAGTCAGTTATGTTAAGGACCACCACACCCCCCCCCCCCCC